GTTCTGGGTGATGGGTCTAGGGATGTTCTACTGAGCAGCCTGAAAGCAGACTCTAGAATGCCCCTGATAGAAGGTGGCATTTGGGAGTAGGTTTATGCTGGATGCCGGTATCAGCTGTTGTGGTTATGCATCCACAGCTCTGCCTCCTTCCCACAGGTCCAGCACATATCGGGACCTCCGGAAGGGCGTGTATGTGCCCTACACCCAGGGCAAGTGGGAAGGGGAGTTGGGCACCGACCTGGTGAGCATCCCCCATGGCCCCAACGTCACTGTGCGTGCCAACATCGCTGCCATCACTGAATCAGACAAGTTCTTCATCAATGGCTCCAACTGGGAGGGCATCCTGGGGCTGGCCTATGCTGAGATTGCCAGGGTGAGAGGAACAGGGCCTGGCCCTAAACACTATTTATTGTCTGCACACTGCAAACTGCATGCTACACAGGGAGGGAGTGAGGAGGGAGAAGGGAAAGGAACTGACTAAAGGAGGGAAACAAGTCAGTTTAAAGGATTATTCAACAGGAGGATAGGATGGCAGTCTGAATTTCAACCCTATAGAGGACAGAACTCTAGTGAGAGAAGCTATGATAGGTACAGGAATAGGCTGTGGTTTCTCTTTAAGATCTTTAATAATAATAAAGGCCCCATAAATCTGAAGCAGGTTAGGCATACGGGGATCAAAGCTCTGTGGCTCTGTGAGCCCACCAGTACTTTCCTGTTTACACTGTCAGTGTCTCTTGCTAACCCCCTCTCTGCCAAATCTCAGTACCTCAAGATGGTCTTTCCCAAGGAATATTACCTAAGTTTTCACTTTTGCCTTCCAATTTAGGCAGGAAGCTGGCCGCTCTGTCCATTAGGATTCTCTGTGTGAGGATTCACTCCTTGTCCCTTTCTGCCACAGCCCGATGACTCCCTGGAGCCCTTCTTTGACTCCCTGGTGAAGCAGACCCACGTTCCCAACCTCTTCTCCCTGCAGCTCTGTGGCGCTGGCTTCCCCCTCAACCAGTCTGAAGCGCTGGCCTCAGTCGGAGGGAGCATGGTGAGTGGGTCTTCAGAGAGGGCAGGTCCTGGCACTGGCAGAGAGACAGCTGCCACGTGCCCTGCTCCCTCAAGGTTATACCACAGTCAGCTCCACCACTTGGAACTAAGAGAAATCTCTTTATATTCCCCACCCCTACTTTTCCTTTTCCACCTTTTCTTCCTTCCACTATTCCCGAAAGGATTCAAGGCACCTCTGGTAAGCTTGGAAAGGATCAGAAGTGATTACGAAAATTTCAAAGGCAATGAAAATAAGACCTATCGAATTAAGATTATTCAGTCTGATGGTCAGAAGGCAGAAATGTAAGGAGTTTAAGTGTATTTATTAATTAATTAGGACAATGGTGAATGGTTCTCCAAGAAGCAGAGAAAATAAAACTTACAATAGAAACAACCATTCATTCAACATTTATTGCGCTAGTTTAGGTTTAAATAACTTTATATCAACGGCTCTGTGATTCTGAAACAAATAAAAAATCTTAGAAAGTCTCTTCTCCTGAACACATTTAAGAACCTATAAATCCCTTTTGGGGCATGATTTGATTAGAAGCAGGAAGATGAAAAACGTAATCTGTAGAAGACCTTGCCACCCCCAAGGAATTACTGATCTTATTGCTTGGTCGGTCTCTGGGTGACTTGCTTTCCTCCTGTGCCGGGACATGGGTACCTGCCTCTTTTTGTCCCTAGATCATTGGGGGCATCGACCACTCGCTGTACACAGGCAGTCTCTGGTACACACCCATCCGGCGGGAGTGGTATTATGAGGTGATCATTGTGCGGGTGGAGATCAATGGACAAGATCTGAAAATGGACTGCAAGGAGGTAATAAAACCAAGGGAGACCCAGGGGAGGGAAGGAGGTAGGCAACACATTGTGACGGAAGACCCTGGTTATGTGGTTGGGAGGACGAGGCAGAGGAGTGGACCTGCAGAAAGGGCTGGGGCTGAGCCTAGAACAGTCAGGAGCTCAATGGTCACGCAGCAGGACCTAAGGTTTGGGGCTATGACTGGCAGAGCACTTTCACAGGAACCACAGGGCATAGGGTCCAATGATGAAAAAAGCATGGAACTAGTTCTGATGTCTGGACTCTAGTCACTGCCTTGCTTCATGGCCTTGGGCCAGTCATTCAAGAGATGGAGTGGTATGATGTAGTAGCAGAGCCTGTCTCTGAGTCAGAAAGAACTGGATTTGAATCTAGCTCCACCACTTACTAGCTATATACCCTTAGGCAACTTACTATTCTGTGTTTCAGTTTCCTTATCTACAAAACAAAGGTAAAATCAACTTTCCCAAAGATGTGGCAGATATCAGAGATAATGTATAAAGTGTTTATCCCATGTTTGGTGGTACCCAGTAAATGGCAGCTGAACCATTTGGGTCTTCCTTACTTAGATTCTTATGTGTGTTAGATTAAAATAATCTAATAAATGTACTAATAAAAGTACTATGAAAAGTTAAAAGCAAATACTATACAAGGTATTTTATTTCAAGATTTCGAGAATGTCAAACTACCCAAGATAGTAAGAGTTAACATTTACTGAGTACCTCCTATCTGCTGGGCATGACTCTAAGTGCTTTAAATACATTAATTAATTTAATCCTTACAAGAACCCTTTGAGGTAGGTACTATTTTTATCCTCATTTTAGAGATGAGGAAACTGAGGCACAGAGGTTAACTTGTCCAAGGAGGGTACATTTACAAGTGGCAAAGCCAGGATACCAACCTAGGCAGGACACCAAGCAATGAGACTCACCCCTCCAACTCTGCCCAGAGCCTGGAAAAGCTTTTGACTTTTCTAATCCTCTCTTTTCCCTCTTAGTACAACTATGACAAGAGCATTGTGGACAGTGGCACCACCAACCTTCGTTTGCCCAAGAAAGTGTTTGAAGCTGCAGTCAAGTCCATCAAGGCAGCCTCCTCGGTCAGTGGACTACGGATGGGGTAAAAGAGATGGCACAGTGTCAGAGAAGTCAGAGAGAGTCACATTCCTCTGCAAGAGCCAAGATGTCTACACGTAGATCCTTCCACTTAGAGCTCTTAAAACCTTTTGTCTTTTATGGGTCTCAGTGTGCTGATCACACAATCCCTCCATACAAATTTCAGACCTCAGTCTCCCGCTCCCTTTCTCTAATCCTTCAACTGCAGTTTACCTTTTCCCACTTTGGATATTTCAGTGGAAAAGCAAATAAAGGGCCCAGTCAATGTTACCTGAAAACAAGAGAGGTGAGATGGTGAAGACCCTGTTTCCTCACAGTTATCCCTTCTTGTCAACACAGACAGAGAAGTTCCCAGACGGTTTTTGGCTAGGAGAGCAGCTGGTATGCTGGCAAGCAGGCACCACCCCTTGGAACATTTTCCCAGTCATCTCGCTCTACCTAATGGGTGAGGTCACCAACCAGTCCTTCCGCATCACCATCCTTCCACAGGTATGTCCCCACCCTGAGTCAGAGTCGGTAGGACCCCATAAAGAGGACAAAATATATATTGGGAGACAGTGAGTAGACATGGCTTCCCAGAACTTGGAAGACAAAATCGATGAGTGTCAAGTGGTAAAGGGGTCTTGGAATACCCAAGCCCTCACACTTCAGGGATGGCAAAGGAAAAAGCTACCTAAGTGAGGGCAGAGATGCCTATAAGGTGAGATGGGGTGAAGGATGGAGTGAGGAAGACACTCTCACCCTGTGACTGCTTACCCCTAGCAATACCTGCGGCCAGTGGAAGATGTGGCCACGTCCCAAGACGACTGTTACAAGTTTGCCATCTCACAGTCATCCACGGGCACTGTCATGGGAGCTGTTATCATGGAGGGTTTCTACGTTGTCTTTGATCGGGCCCGAAAACGAATTGGCTTTGCTGTCAGTGCTTGCCATGGTAAGAGTACCAGGGATGAGGGTGTGGGGTCTATCTGTATTCTCCCTGTTAGCAATTAGGATACCTGGGCCCCCATCAGTTTGGGAGGTAGTAATAGTTGCCCCAAGCCAAATTCAACATACTGTGCAAAAGCTAGTGTCAGTGCTAGTCCTTTTTTTGTACTGCTGGCCATGGTGACCCCTGCCTGGACCGGTAACCTCTGCTGGAAACCCTGAGTATCAAGAGCAACCTAGGCACCTTGGGCAGCTCTAGATGCAAGGGCAGCAGACTGAGCCTATAGTGACCATGTCAGCTGCCATACAGTGAGGTTGAATGCTACTTCAGAAAGGTGGCAGGGTTTTGCAGTTGAATTTCAGCAGTGGAAAGTAAGTTTACTAGGTGTACAAAGGGCTAGCTTTTGGTCACCTCAGAACTACTTACTTTTAGCTATCATTCCTACTAGATGGATATCTAGGGAAAGGCCACTGCTTCCAGTGACCTGGGAGGAGAGGTAGGCCTCCACCTGGTACTGGCTTTCCAGCCTGCTCCTAAATATCTCCAGGGAAGGGGACTCTGCAGCCTCTGCAGGGGCTAATTTGAAGATCTCACTATCAGGAATTTCTTTTTGTTGTAAAACCCAACCTGCCCTATGACAATGAGAGCTGCCCATTCACATCTGCCCTCTCCCCAGTGCATGATGAGTTCAGGACGGCAGCGGTGGAAGGCCCTTTTGTCACTCCGGACATGGAAGACTGTGGCTACAATATTCCACAGACAGATGAATCAACCCTCATGACCATAGCCTATGTCATGGCTGCCATCTGCGCCCTCTTCATGCTGCCACTCTGCCTCATGGTGTGTCAGTGGCGCTGCCTCCGCTGCCTGCGCCATCAGCATGATGACTTTGCTGATGACATCTCCCTGCTGAAGTGAGGAGGCCTATGGGCAGAAGATAGAGATTCCCCTGGACCACATCTGGGTGGTTCACTTTTGTCACAAGTAGGAGACACAGATGGCACCTGTGGCCAGAGCACCTCAGGACCCTCACCTACCCACCATATGCCTCTGCGTTGACAGAAAAGAAGGAAAAGTGGCAAGGTGGGTTATAGGGATCATGCCTGTAGGAAACAGGAGAGGAAAGAAGCACTCTGGTGGTGGGAATACTCTTGGTCACCTCAAACTTAAGTTGGGAAATTCTGCTGCTTGAAATTTCAGCCCTGAACCTTCACCCACCATCCCTTTAAATTCTCCAACCCAAAGTATTCCTCTTTTCTTAGTCCCAGAAGTACTGGCATCACAACCCAGGTTACCCCAGTATATATCCCTGTGGTACCCTGGAAAAGAAAGGGCCAATCTTATTGCCCTGCTGGCCAAAGTCAGTAGGAGAGGATGCACAGTTTGCTATTTGCTTTAGAGATAGGGACTGTATAAACAGACCTAACATTGGTGCAAAGACTGCCTCTTGAATTAAACAAAAAATAATTAGATTGAATAATTATACAAGTGGGGGTGGCTGGAAAGAAGAGAAGGAAAGGGAATACAAAGACAGAGAACAGTTGGGATCAAAGCTAGGAAAGGCAGAAACACAACCACTCACCAGTCCCAGTTTTAGACTTCATCTCCAAGACAGAATCCCATCTCATAAGATGGGTATCGTTTCCCAACGTTTTTTTTTTCTGTGCTTGCAGCCTGACCAAAAGTGAGATGGGAAGAAGGGCTTATCTAGCCAAAGAGCTCTTTTTTAGCTCTCTTAAATGAAAAGTGCCCACTAAGAAGTTCTACTTAACACATGAATTTCTACCTTATTAATTCTACTTGTCTCTACCTGAACACTTTATTCTACACACGATAGGTAGTGCTGAAATATCCCAACCCCCCTAAGCTCCAGGTGCCCTACGGGAGAGCAAATGGAAGATAGCAGGGCTGGGCTCTGTCTTCCTGGTCACAAGTTCACTTCTTCCCCCAAATCCCTATTCCTCTGGAGCTTTGCAGCTGAGGTGCTAAAAGGAATAGATAGGCGATCTCTCCTTTCTTATCTTTGAAAGGAGAATCCTGAAGATTAATTCAACAGCTATAGAGCTGGTGCCCTATAGCTCTGCCTGGATTTCTTCCCATTCATCTGTAAGAAGTGGTAAGATCTTTACACAACACAGCATTTCATTGCCTTCTCATCCTCTCTAATGGCTCCTCCATTTGTTTGACTAAGAGGCATCATACAGTGGCACTAGTATTATATCAAGAGTGTCAGAAATGCAGGGCTTTCTGGCTCTAATGTCATTGCCTTCAGTATCAAGGATGGCAGCCTCAGGGCTTCCTTCCACAAAACACCTTGATGGAGGCCATCGGTTTCTTCTATCCTGCTCTCTACTCTCCACTCCTAATAGCACGGGTACCCAGGCTGGTTCTTGGGCTAGGAAGTGGGGACTAAGTTCATTATCTCCCTATCAGTTCTAACACAGTAGTCTATGATACCAGTGTTAGTGGGAAGACCTAAATTTTCCTGGTATACCCATCGCATCCTATTCCTATCTGGTTAACACACTGCTTCCAGGTACGTGACCTGCCAAGTGTAGAATTACCTGATGAGGGAGAGGGAAATACAAGAAGGGCCTCTGGAGTTCCTGGCTTCAGCCAGCTGCCCACAAGCCATAAACCAATAAAACAAGAATATTGAGTCAGTTTTTTTTTTATCTGGGTTCTCTTCATTCTCATTGCACTTGGTGCTGCTTTAGCTGACTGGGAACACCCTCTAACTACAAAGACTGACAGGAAGACTGGAAACTGTCCACTTCTAGCTCAGAACTTACTGTGTAAATAAACTTCCAGAATTGCTACCATGAAATGAAAATGACACATTCTGCTTTATAATTTCTATCCATGTTGGGGAAGACTGGCTTTTTCCCAGCCCTTTCCAGGGCATAAAACTCAACCCCTTCATTACTAATTCCCATCATCTATTTTTTTTTTTTTGAAAGAAAACGTGCACTTATTTTTCTTTTCATAGTTACTTCCTTTCTATCCTGAAACTATGAACTCTAAGTATAAAAAAAAATCTTGACAACAGCTTCTTGCTCGTAAAAATATGTATTATATATCTCTATTTTTAAATTCTCCTCCCGAAAAATGACTGTCTCCACTCACTGCATCTGGGGCCTTCCCCATTGGTCTGCATGGCTTTTACCACTGCAGGCCAGTGGACAGAGACAGAAGGGAGAACAGGGGTGGCCAAAACTTAAGTGTCACCTTCTGATTATCATGAACAAGAAAGAAAATAGTAACACTGAGGCCCCAGCTCCCATGCTCAACTCTCCAAAACACTTACCCTCTGTTAGAGTTGGCTTTCCAGGGACTATACTGGGAAGCAGTTAAGACCCCTCTTCACTCCCTCCTTTTTTCTCTCTATTCCTTTGGCTTCAAAGATTTTTGGAAAAGAAACAATATTCTTTACACTTATTTCCAATTTCTAAATTTTCAAGGGATATTGAAAAATACTGCAAGTGGCCCAAGGCTGCTGCTGCAAAGTTGAAGGGAGAGAAAATCTTAAGATTATAAGATAAAAAATGAATCCTTCAAATGAAAAGAACGAAGGAACTGGTCTTCCATTATGCCACCTTTCCTATTCATGACAGCTACCAAACTGGAGACAGTAATATTTCATTAACCAAAGAAAGTGGGTCATCTGACCTCTGAAGAGTTGAGTACTCAGGCCACTCCAATCATCCTACAAGATGCCAAGGAGGTCCGAGGAAATCCAGCTCCTTAAACTGATACTAGTCAATAAACCTGGGCAAGCAAGGCAAGAGAAAAGAAAAAGAATTCATCTATGAACTGATAGACAAAGATGAACAACAAAGGAAAACAATAACAAACAGAAAGGAAAGAATTTAGTTGGGCAAAGAAAAAGTCTTTGCCACCCTGATATAGTACCAGTAAGCATTTCTAGGTCCCAGAATGGAAAAAATTCAGTTGCTGGTAATACAATGTTGTCCTTTCTCTGGAGCCAACTTTTTTTTTTTTTGATTGACACTTAGTTTTTACTTGTTTAATTCCAAAAGAGAAGGGAGCTGAAGCCATTTCCTGTAGGAGTAAAGATAAAAGGATAGGAAAAGATTCAAAGCTCTAATAGAGTCACTGCTTTCCTAGGTATCAAACCTAAAAACCAGAAGTGCAATAAGCAGAAGTGGAAAAATGTTCTGGATACCTATCCACAGAACAAATGATTTATAAACTTGAAATCTAAATGTCTTTCTTCATATCACTTTGGTCTCCATTTTTCCCAGGACAGGAAACATGTAGCTTTCTTGCTTCAAAAAGTAAAACCCAGCATCCCAAGATCATTCTGCAAGTAATTTTGCACAGACATCTCCTCACCCCAGTGCCTGTCTGGAGCTCACCCAAGGTCACCCAACAACTTGGTTGTGAACCAACTGCCTTAACCTTCAGGGGGGAGGGGGGTTAGCTAGACTAGGAGACCAGAAATGAAAGGGAAGGGGTGAGGACTTCACAATGTTGTCCTGTCAGAGCTCGATTAGAAGCCAAGCCAGTGGCAGCAAGGGATGGCTTGGCCTAGGAAAAACCTGTGGGCTGTGGTAATTTCTATCCAGGAAGAAAGGTGGACAGAAGCATGTAGAGGCATGGAGGAAATGGGACCTGGTTATGTTGTAATTCTTGGACTGTGAATTTTGCTGATGTAAAACAGAACATTCTGTAAACCTAATGTTTATGTATAAATAATGAGCGTTAACACAGTAAAATATTCAATGAAAAGTCAAACTATTAGGGTTACATTTTTTTTTCCTCACTCAGTCTCATTTTATCCATTTTGGAGTGACTAAAACAATACTGAGGCTTCTGGAGGCTTTCAGTAAGCAAGGCATCTGGTTGGACAGCAGGTGAGCACCAGGCTTCAAATCTGCATACATGAGCCTTAAGAAAATGGACTAGAGGCTGAGCCAAACCAAAGCAGGATGGCTGTAGAGCAACAGCAGCTTCCTAGATGGTTTTTATATTGTATTTGAAAACAGCCCTGGGCAGCGATATCATAATTTCAAGGCCAGACTAAACATCTTCCCTACAATCTGCATCCCCCAAAGGAATTGCAAGATGAGGGGGAACAGACTGTTTCTGCATAATATACATACTTTCATTTACGAACATTTGAATACAGACTTTCTATACACATATTACCTATATAATAAAAATGTACAAGGCATGAGTATATGTCACTGTATAAATATAGAGTTTTAGAAATCTTGAACCCGCGCTTCCTGTTCACATCAGTTTCTCTTCTTCTTCCTCCCCAGTCAGGTCCGTCATTTAAGAGTTGGACAAAAGGGACAAGTGTCATTTGTGTTGGTCTGGGCCCAGAATTTGATACACTGGAAAGAGAGAAAGACACACCTCAGGTTTATCTGGATAAATGAGGGGAAGGAAGGAGAGAGTACCAATAATGTTCAACAAAACTTGAGTCAGAAAATTTCTGTCAGGTACCAAAAGGGCTATTTTCAATGGCTTTTACCCCCAAAAGAATCTTCATAGAAGGTGAACCGGTCCTTTTTACAAGGAACATTAGCAATTAGCTAATAAGAGTATTCATGAAGCTGCTTTTTGTTGAGTACCTAGTGTGGCTTGCTCCTTCTTATGATCCATTTAGCCTGAGATGAGCTTCCCTCTGCTAAAACCCGTCACCCTCAAATCTTATTCAGAACGTTTTCTTACCAAGAATTTAGATGTAAATTCAGTTTTTACATCTTGGAAAAACAAAATGAACAAAACAAAATCCTTAAGAAGGAATCATCCCTGCTGCTAAGAGACTTAACTCTGCCTGGTAACATCATAAAGAGACTAGGAATAACTTGTCAGTCTGTGAAGATAATCTCTAACAGGCAGGGCTTCAAGCTATTCTGTTAATGGAGTTACTTACTAATCTCATACTCATCTTTTCCATTCCATTCCTCTCATCTAAGCAAAGTCTCCTGACAATGTTATATTTGGAATAATGGTTAGATATGTGGGATTATCTCTTATTGTCAATTTTCCAAGAAAGTGACTTTTCAGTGCTCTAGTGTGAATTGTTTGTCCAGTTCCCCGAAAGGAATGTGGTAAAAAGAAGCTGAGAGATCCTGGCTGCAGTATTCTGGATTCTGCTAATGTTTAAGTCCCAATTTACTGAAAACTGTATGATTATATATTAATAATAAACACCAACATAGTAATATATTCACAAAAATTATCTTAGCTATCAGAAAAGAAAAAGTAGCAAATGAGGAAGGTGTGTAGACCCACCTCCTTGTGTAACACATGGGTACATGCCATTGGATGCAGCTCACTGGGCTGGACGAGTTTCTGGCACATTAGACATAGCTTACAGGTAGCTGGAGCCTGCAGAAGAGAGGAGGCACGGTCAAAAGGTAAGGAACCTCTGCCTTTTATACCCATAATTCCATCTGTTATTTCCATGTAGCAAAAAGATTTTACACTGAAAGAAATAAAACTCAAAATATAGATTCTTGCCTAAAATACTTGCATTTTCACAGTAGGGCTACCAACAACCCAACTGATAAGATGATGGTTTCTTTCTGTACTCCACTTGTAAACCTACTTCCTCCCCACATCCAGCTTCTCAATGTCCCAGTGTTCAAAGAAAAAGAGTCTTACATGTGAAGACCTTCCAGGATATGAAACTTGGGCAGAAGGCAAGAACATTGGGGTACTGATTTGGGCCAGTGGGGCAGGAAACAAGGCCCGGATCCGACCGAGTGGCTGTGGGTAGAAACATTGCCAGGGTAAGGGAAGAGAGTAACAGAGCAAATAACAAAAAGAAATCATTCATTTCCCAGTACAGCAAAGGAAGAAAGACTAGCTACCCTTGGCTAGAACGTGTCTTCCCACCCCAAATTTTTCTGAAACATGCCTCTTCCCCAACATCTCAGTAGGCACAACTTCTCTCCCAAGTAGCTTTTCTTACCTGAGTACTTGCTGCCATCCGCTCATGTTCTGCCAGTCGTGCAGCTACCAGCTGGATCAGCTCCTCCATGGTCAGACCTGCCATGGTGGTACGTGCTGTCTTGATCTGCTGAAGAATGTTGGTCATCTGAGCCCTAAGAAAGAAAAATGTTGAGGGACATTTATGCAGTACCCATAGAGAATACCCACAAAACCTCATCTATTTTAACCCATAACCATTTCTCTGACAAAGGTATTTAAATTAATCCTTAAAGATACTTACTTATTGCACTGTGGGAACCGAGTCAGCAGCTTCTCCAGGATCTTCTCCAGTTTGTCTACTGGTTGGGGCCGAGGAGTTTCAGTAGAAGCCTTAACACCGCCCAAGCCTGGGGGAGGCAGGATGGAGGCGGCAGGGGGCATGTGTGGACCGTGGGGGCTGACAAGGGAACCCAAGCCAGGGCTATTTCTCCCATGTGAGCCAGGAAGGGGTGGGGAAGGCTGGTTAGGTTGGGAAAGGGCTGGGTTCAGGATTGGGAAAGACAAGGAACGGGGATCTGCACTGGGCATAACCATGGGCATTGTGACCTGCCCAATGGAGAAGGGCATCCGAGGAGCCAGAGAGGGACTGGGTTGAAACACCTGAAGCATGAAGTCTGTCTGCAGAGGGGAAGAGGTTGAGGACAAGAGAGAAAGAAAAATAAAGTTTAGGAAAATGGAGCAGAAAACAATGAGTAATTCTTGCACTGAATAGGGATGGTTCCAATATCTTCATAAAAAGAATAAGTAGAAAACTCTGTCTGCCACCAACACAGAAAGATGGACTCCCAAAGCCAGCTCTTACCTCTGATGGGGGTGGAGGCAAAGTGGGAGTAGGGATTTGAGGAAGGCTGCTCAACTTAGCTCCATTCCTCACTAGCTGGATATGACTATTAAATTGGTCCTAGAAAACAAAGAAAGGATTATCGTTTACTGATGAGCTGAGTGAGCCTCTCTAGAAAGTAAGCACCATCCATTATCAGGAAAACAAGGGGAATGGTAGGATAGGCTGTAAGTGGCAACTCAAAAGGCTACCTCCCTTTTGCCAGGTGTGTTTAGGCACGAACTAGTGCTGACTGAATGACTTCCCATTATTACACTTACCCGAACATTCTTTTTCATTATCCGAACTCCATTCAGTCTTGTCTCCCACTCCTGTTTGGAACGAACTGACTCCAGTGTTGGGGGAGTTGACCTTTCAAGAAACCAACAGGAATTTACAGAATTAAAGAAAGCCAATTTCCTAATTTGGCTATCTGAGATAGCAAAACAGTAGCTGGCTAACTGGCCTTGAGAGAAGAGGTACGAGTAGGTGCAAGAGAAGCCCAAGATTCTAAGTCCTTTGCCTCACTTTAACTCCATCATCTTTTAAACCAAGTATTTGAGAAAGAGGACCAACCACAGAGGGGGTTCTTGTTTGCCTGAAAACACCAAAGGGGACCTCCAAATTCCATGGCAGAAAGAGGAGAAATGATCATATAAGAAATCTCCAAAGACCTTTGTTATGCTTTGACAGATTAACAGATACTATTTATCCAAAAGGAAATAATATAATAAAAAGTACAAAAACATAAAACTGTAGAAGGGAAGAGTCAGAGAGTACAGAAGGTTAGAAGGTGGGAAGAGAAATCAAGGAGCAATTATTATTGCAGACAAAGATGCCCTTAAAATGCCTATGAAGATAGAATAAGTGCCAAATTTGCTGGCCTAGAATTTCAAAAACCTAAAAGAACAAACTGCAAGACAATTAAAACTCTAGAATGGAGGCCAAGCACAGCAGCTCATGCCTATAGTCCTAGTGCTTTGGGAGGCTGAGGCATAAGGATCACCTGAGCCCATGAGTTTGAGGTTGCAGTGAGCTATGATGTTGCAGTGAGCTATGATGTTGCCTGTCGCTAGCCCAGGCAACAGAGTAAGACCCCATCTCAAAAAAAAACCAAAAACCAAAACAAAAAAACCTCTAGAACGGAAAGGCACTCACTTGAGGTAAGTAAGGTGCAATTCTGCCTCTTTTTCTGCTTCTTCTAGTTTCAATACCAACAACTCTTTCCGGCTCTCGAGTGATAAGATCTAAGGAAACCACACACAAAGACAATAATTTTACATATACAAAACTACCCTACCCTGAGATAGTTAAAACAAGTGCTTGCTGGCTCCTCTATTACTATACCAAAAGTATATATCATCAGGAAGCCCAAAATCAAGACTTTCAAGATATCAGCTCTTCTCACCTCTGCCTTCCAGGCCCGTTCTGTCTCTTCCATGATGTTCCGATTTATTTCGCCATCCTGATTCTTGAGTCTATCCAGTTCCATTTCCCACACCTCTCTGTAAGATAAGAAATCAAGAACAAGACTAAGAAAACAAAGATAAGCTTGCTGAGGGGCACCAAGGCAAAAGTAAAACCCAAAATTGGTCTGCCAGGTACATTATAGGAACTCTTACTCTAAGTATTAACTATACATATAGATAAATAATGTTTCAGGTGGTCTGCAATTGCATAAAGGCCCTATACTTGAAAGTAAAAATGTTTACATCTCCACTTGCTAAAACAAGGTTACCTAGCACAGAAAAAGAGTTTATCTTAGAACCAAAACCCTCCACTCAAGGCAGAACGTTTTTCTATATTCTGGGGGTTCAAAATCATTATGGCCTTCTTATTTCCCAACTTGTCTTTTAATATGGGTACTGAAGAATACAGGACCAAATACAGGAGTCCACTTAATATTCATCTCTAATGCAGCAATCATAATTCACTACCAAGCACACATACTGGCTTACTGATTTTCTCATCTAAACATTCTTCAAAAGGAAAAAATATTCTTTCTCTTCATACCTCTGAACTTCTTTTCTTTCTTTTTTTTTCTGAGACAGAGTCCCGCTTTGTTGCCCAGGCTAGAGTGAGTGCCATGGCATCAGCCTAGCTCACAGCAACCTCAAACTCCTGGGCTCAAGCAATCCTCCTGCCTCAGCCTCCCAAGTAGCTGGGACTACAGGCATGCGCCACCATGCCCGGCTAATTTTTTTTAATATATATATTAGTTGGCCAATTGATTTCTTTCTATTTTTATAGTAGAGACGGAGTCTCGCTCAGGCTGGTTTTGAAATCCTGACCTTGAGCAATCTGCCCACCTCAGCCTCCCTGAGTGCTAGGATTACAGGTGTGAGCCACCACACCTGGCCTGAACTTCTTATTTTCATTGGTTTACTCCCTTCCTATACACTCACAGCCTCTAGAGTGTGTAAATATGAATATTACACCCCTAGAATGTAGGGAATACTCAGGAATAGGGTGACCAACTGTCTCGATTTGCCCAGTACTGAGGGATTTCCCAGGATGTGGGACTGTCAGTGATAAAACTGGGACATTTGATCACCCTACTCAGGACTGAAAAGTCCATTAAGGAACAAAGACAGCAAAATAATTTCCTTATATTATACCTGATTATAATAAGTTTATATCTGAAAGCATGGATTACCCAGATAAGTAGACAGAATATGATGAAAATATTAAAATTATTTTCACTAGATTGTAACAAGGTAAAAATAAGACAAAAAGCTTAGGAAGAGTTACATTTTAAGAGAAACATTCCCACATTTTTTCAATGAGAGAAACAATATTATTCCCCTTCTATATTTTTTAGTAATCTTACACATATGAAAGGGAACAATACACTTAGAAGTTTCTAAGGCCCTTTCCTCTCACATATTTTTGTTTTTGACCTAATTCTTCACACATCCATATTCTCTATTTCAGAGATATAAGGCTTGTGTGTGTGTGTGTGCATGTGCGTGTTACACACAAATTCATTCATTCTCTGACATTAAATTTGTCCTCTACTGACAAGGTCTACTCATCTAATAGAAATGAATAGATATGCATTTTCTTCCTTCATCTCCACATATTGTCCTTCCAAAATTAACTTTCTGTCAGAGAATGAATTTTTGAATCGTTCTTTATACAAAAGTTTATAGGTAGCTGTGTTTTCCTAGTATAACACACATTTCTCAAGTTCCAAATATATCCGAATTCTTTTATCATAAGAATATGTGAAATACATCGCAGAGGCAATCAATAATCGATCCAGCTTACTATTCACTCTTTGACAACAGGATAATGATAATGTTTTTATCATGTTTTTCATTATCATTAACATAATAATTTTTTTCTATAGATATATTTCTGTATTTTTCTATAACATTTTCTATAACATAGGTAACTATAGAAAACATGATAATGTTTTTCTATAACACAGCTCCCTTCTGTGATTGATGTTATTCTTAAAGATTATGGATGCTTACCAAACATTTCTAACTTCCATTAAATGCATTGCCAACTACAAATATACACTTACATTAGAAAAATCCTCTTAAGCCAATGGGGACATTCTACACATTCACATATGAAAAATCTTTTCCTTTGGGCATTTGGCCATATTTACCTCACTAGGATCCAACAAGACAAAAGGAACTACTAGCAACCATAACAAAAATAGTTTAAGAAATTCTTGAACACAATTATAAAAATACTCAGCCTTATCATGTTAACTAGCCTGCAACATATACATCAGATTTCACTTCATTAAAGAGTACTAAGAGCAACCCACAATAAAAACAAGCAAACAAACAAACAAACAAACACAGTTCCACATAGCAGATAGTAAAAAAGAAATCCTTGGCAGAATAGTAACCACTGGGTATATTTTAACTTTTTAAATTCTTGGCCTAATTTCTTTCAAGTCCAACGCTTCTGTTATTTTACATAGCTGGTTTTGGGTATCGATGGTTCAAATGAATGAATGCTACCAGACTGTATAATTCTGGCTTATTGTAGGTCCTGATATGTTTGTATAACTTTTAAAATTAATTTTGTTTTTGATTATGTGAATCATAAAAATTATAAAATGTTTAGAAAATATAAAACAGAAATTTCCCAACTCAACTGCTTACTGGTTACATGACCCTAGATGAGTTACTTTCTAGACCTCAGCTTTTTCATCTGAAAAATGAGTAGTATCTACATCATGGGACTGATGAGAGAGTTAACCGAGAAAACACATGTAAAAAGCTGAACACAGGTTGAACTTCCCTAATCTAAAAATCCAAAACCTGAAATGCTCTAAAATCTGAAACTTTTGGAGCACCAATATGATGCTCAAAGAAAATAATCATTGGATGAGTTGAGGTTAGGGATGCTGAACCAGTAAGTATAATGCAAATATTCCAAAATCCAAAAAAACCCCAGAAATCTGAAATGCTTCTGGTCCCAAGCATTTCAGATAATGAATACTTAGAAGTATTCAACAATTTTTTAAAAGTATTTTTAAAAAACTCAATTTCTCACAATTGTACTACTCACAAAGAATCACTATATCTTTTTCCAGTCTTATAAAGTAACTATTTTCTTATTTATGTATATATAACATATATATCCATCACATATGCTTTTCAAACAAAACTTGTGATGTTTGAACACAAATCAGTAGCATTCCTATACACTAATAACAATTAAGCTGAGAGTCAAATCAGACTCAATACCATTCATAATAGCTACAAAGAAAATAAACACCTGGCTGGGTGCAGTGGCTCACGCCTGTAATCCTAGCACTCTGGGAGGCCGAGGCGGGTGGATAGCTCAAGGTCAGGAGTTCGAAACCAGCCTGAGCGAGACCCCGTCTCTACCAAAAATAGAAAGAAATTAATTGACCAACTAAAAATATATATACAAAAAATTGGCCGGGCATGGTGGCACATGCCTGTAGTCCCAGCTACTCGGGAGGCTGAGGCAGGAGGATCGCTTGAGCCCAGGAGATTGAGGTTGCTGTGAGCGAGGCTGACGCCATGGCACTCACTCTAGCCTGGGCAACAAAGTGAGACTCTGTCTCAAAAAAAAAAAAAAAAAAAAATACCAGTATCATATTTCACAGCTCTAGAAAAAATAATTCTATGCTTTGTGTGGAACCAGAAAATAGCCCAAATAGCCAAAGCAATCTTAAGCAAAAGGAACAAATTGGAAGATATCACATTATCAGACTTCAAACTGTACTACAAGACAAAAGTAACTAAATCAGCATGGTACTGGCACAAAAATAGAGATATAGACCAATGGAACAGAACAGAAATCCCAGATATAAAACCATCTGCACACAGCCAATTGATCTTTGAACAAAGCAGACAATAATACGCACTGGGGAAAAGAATCCATATTCAATAAATGATGTTGGGAAAATTGAATAGCCACATGCAGAAGATTGAAATAGGATCCATATCTCTCACCACTCACAAAAATTAATTCAAGATCGATAAAGAACTTAAATTTAAGACATGAAACCATAAGAAGTCTAGAAGAAAATGTGGGAAAAATTCTTCTAGATATTGGCGTAGGCAAAGAATTTATGAAGAAGACCCCAACGGCAATCACAGCAGCAATACAAAATAAATAAATGGGACTTAATTAAATTGAAATGCCTCTGTACAGCTAAGGAAATAATTAACAAAGCAAACAGACAACCTACAGAATGGGAGAAAATATTTGCAAGCTATACAGCCAATAAAGGACTAATAACCAGAATCTACAAAGAACTCAAGCAAATCAGCAAGAAAAAAACCAAATAACCCCATTAAAAAGTAGGCAAAAGACATCAACAGAAGTTTTTCAAAAGAAGATAGACAAATGGCCAATAAACATATGGAAAAATGCTCAACATCACCAATCATCAGGGAAATGCAAATCAACACCACAATGAGATATCACCTTGCCCCAGTAAGAATGGCCTTTATTAAAAAGTCCAAAAACAGGCCGGGCATGGTGGCTCACGCTTGTAATCCTAGCACTCTGGGTGGGTGAGGCAGGAGGACTGCTTGAGCTTATGAGTTTGAGACCAGTCTGAGCGAAAGCAAAACCCCGTCTCTATTTAACATAGAAAAATTAGCCAGGCATCGTGGTGTGCACCTGTAGTCCCAGCTACTAGGCAGGCTGAGGCAGAGGATCACTTGAGCCCAGGAATTTGAAGTTACAGTGAGCTATGATCATGCCACTGCACTCCAGCCTGAGCAACAGAGCAAGACTCTGTCTCTAAAAAATAATTTAAAAATAAAAAATAAACAAAGAAAGCAAGAAAGGGAGGGAGGGAGAAAGGAAAAAGCCACTGAAACATCTTACTTCAGGTAAGTTACTGTACTGCATTAGCTAAAGAAGTACAACCTTGTACAGCCGGCATTGCTTCAGGTATGCTAGATGAAAAGTTAGTAAAATAAATTATGGTGGTGCCACTTTTTAATGATACAGTAAATCATCAAAATCAAGAGTTTGCTGCAAATTTAAAAAG